TGTGGAAGATGTAAAGTATCTAGATGTAATCCACATGAAAATGATAACAGCACGGGACGGGATGTGCACTGAAAACTTGACAGATTTCTGGATTTCTTGAGAAGTGGTACATTATTAACTCATTGCAGACTGAAAAGTGGAGTATATATTCTAATCCCTAGAACAAGCCCTAGAAGAAATGCAAAGAAATACAGCTAAAATAGTGAAAATAAAATTCTGAAGAGTATCTGACAATAAAATGGAAGCCAGAAATAAGAAAGAGGGAAATAAGAAGTGGAGACAAGCCACACACACACAGGAACACAGCCGTATCAATAATTTCATTAAATGTGCCTCCGGGACATTTATGAAGATAGAACATATATGGACCACAAAAATGTCTTAATGAGTTTCAAAAGACTGAAATCATGCACAGAGTATTCTTTGATCCCATGAATTTAAATTAAAAATCTATAAAAATAAGAGGGCCCGAATAGCTTTATTTACTTGCAAATTAAACACCATGTTTCTAAATAATCACTGGGCCAAGCAGACATTGCGGGGGGCGGGGGGAGGGATTAGAAATTTGAACTGAATAGTAACGTAACTCGGCGTATCAAAATTCGGGAGATGTAGCTAACACCATCCACAGAGGGAAATTTTTAGCTTTGATAGTTTTATTAAAAAGGATAGAAAAATCAAACCAAAGATCTATGCTTCCTCCTTAAACTGGAGAAAGAAGAGAGAATTAAAACCAAAGCAAGTGGCAACACAGGATAAAAAAAGAAAAGAATGTAATTCTATGAAATAGAATAAAGAGTAGAAATGGTAATGTCACCTGATTTAAACACAGTCTGCATGGTGTTGTTCGTTCAGCAACTGATGATTGTGTGAGATGCCCAGGCCATCACACTGGCTCCCTATTACCACCTGCACTCAGAAAGATAGTATTTCTTCTCCCCATTGTGTGCCCACCTCCCCACCAGCAAGCCTGTCCTTCAGAAAATGTACTCTTCCGTGCACAGTAGGTACACACAAGCCTCCGTGTCTGCAGATGTACCCCGACAACCATGCTGATCAGCGTAGGTATTTTACTGACTTCCTAAGGGGCTATCTGAAATCTCGGTTGGTCATACTGAGGACCACTGTCACCGTCGCTGAGGGTGGGATGTATAGATACAGGGATGCGCATGACCAAGACATGGTCAGCTCCTGTAGGGGTTGCAGGGAAGGTTATGGACTAAGTGGAGACCGTCTTGCAGGATACGGATGTAGGTGTGAGCAAGTGCGTGTATGTGTGTACAGATTTTACCCAAGCTCTAGATACAGGAGATCAGTCCCCTTTGTGCCAAGTATTGCCTCTGCTTTCTGGTAGCGAGTTTCTTAACTAATCTGCTCTGTGTGTCCACTCTGTGTGTTCTACTCAAGAAAGTTCGAGATTGTCCTAGAGACTTTGGCCGTGTGCCATAGTGCTTTATATGTCAGTGTGTAGAGTAGGAGAAAAGATTCAGAGAGAAGCTTCATGTGAGGTTATGTGGAGAGCAGCTGAATATACTTTTCCAGATGAAAAGGACCCTTTGATGAAACACAGGATCGATTTTTGTCAGAACTAGTTGATTCCTTTGGTGAAAGTGTCCATCAGAAGCCTACTGAGTTCCTTAATGTCTCGTGTTTCCTTTTTATTTCCTCTCTTGCAGATAAAGAATTCATCTACAGAGAACAGAAAGGAAGTGTGATCCTGCGGAATGTTGAAACAAATATTTCTACAGTGTTAATAGAAGGCAAAAAAATTGTAAGTACTCTCTCTAATGACCAGGATAATTTCAGTTTTCCCTCCTGCAAGTCAATAAAGCAGAAAATGACTTTGGGTTTCAACTTTTAGTAGGAGCCGAGCAGAAGCAATAAACTTGTAATACTATAGCCTGAGCAACTAAAGATAATGTGAAATTGAAACCACACTAATTTAATAAGATGAAAGCAGTTTCTTCCAGCGTGTGGGACATTTCTCTGCAGGTGTCGGAAACAAGTGTTGCATGCCATATATAATGGGACGATAACGTCCTAAGGCTTTAGACATTTACGGAACAATTGCAGTAATGCACAGAGAATACCTCAGGAGGCCTTGCTCAATCTCGTTTTTTTTTTTTTTTAACTCCACAAGCACAGGGAATATTAATTTAGGCACTGACTGTGCCCGCTCTGATGACATTAAGGGATGTTTATGCTTTAAAACGAGTACTGAGTCGATATGAATGCCACCGCTTTGGAATCTGGAAAAACCTGGTTTCCCAAAGATTTAAGTAACATTAAGATTCAGAGTTCATGTACAGCTGAAGATATTTATTAAAAACCTTCACTGAAGTTCTGCACCAAAAATCAATTTGAAGAGAATTCACTTTTTTCTTTTACAGTACGTTTATGCTCATCATTATAAAGAGTAAACCTCCAGCTTTAGGGAGTGCATTGCTTTCTTATCCAATATACAAGTATTCAGAATCAGAACGATCATTACACACCTCCGATGTGAATCAGAGACACAGGTGCCCTGAAATCCGAGAATCCAAGCATTAGAGGAAAACCACAGGAAAGATTAGTCAGCTCCCTGGTTTTACAGATAAGGATCCGGAGCCCAGAGCTGGGGAGTGACCTTTTCAGGGTCCCACAGCCGGTTGGTGACCCCATCCCCCAGCCCATGGAAATGCTACTCTACCTCCTTCCCCTCTTCAAGAACATTCAACTCCCTAAATATTTTTGTTTCATTTATTTTTGGTGTAAACATACTTTTTTCTTTTTTTTAAGATTTTATTTATTTGGGAGAGAGAGAGAGAGAGAGAGAGAGAGCACAGGTGAGGGTAGGGTCAGAGGGAGAAGAGACTCCCCGCTGAGCAGGGAGCCCAATGCAGGACTCGATTCTGGGACCCCGGGACCATGACTTGAGCCAAAGGCAGATGCTTAACCAGCCAAGACACCCAGGGGCCCAACATATTTTTTTCTTAAAAAAAAAAATACTTATTGGGGTTTAGTATTAAACGGATCCTCCCTTTACCTAGACTGTTTGCTGGTATAAAGGAGGCCTAGCAAGGTTACATCATGGTGTCGTTCCCAAAATGATAGCTTTATCAAATTAAATCATATTCTGCAAAGTGAGACCCAAAAAGGAGGAATGTGCATGCCTTTTTGCATTAAAAAAATCATCTTTGGTAGAATTACTCCCCTGAGAAAATCTCATTCAACCCACTTAAAAATACTAAAATTGCAGAAATGGTTTTGTAATATTAATCGAGTGGAGGAAATGATCAGACTGTTGCTGAGGGTAAGTGCATTTTAATGTCAGCCTGTTATCCCTACCTCTGTGAGGACGTCAGGTTAGTACAAGCCAGGCGCGCCCTGCACGCAGCTGCACTTAGTAACAAAATACAAGAACAGGACCTGTCTTCTCTTTCTCAGATCAATAGCTTGTGACAGATCATGTATTTTAACTGAGGTTATTTTAGCCAAATAATAAGCCGACTTCAGAAACCACCTTAGGTAAGAAAAGGAGAAGAGCTCCTCTGAGAATTGGTGGGCTTATTCCATACAGTGCAATCTTTTTCTCCTTAAGATGTCATTATTCACTCATATCACAAACACTGAAGGAGCACCAAACGTGCAGAGCCCGACTGATATTATTCAGGATCATGCCTAGTTTATTCTTGTCTCAAAGGCTCCATTTAAGTGCTTCTGTAAGCAAACCTCAAAAGAAGGAGAAAGAGGGAAGTCAGTTCGGGGCCGCATCATCATCATCCAGGCTGCAGAAGTCCCGTGTTTAGGTTCTGCTGAGCCAGTCATTAAAGTTCTTGTGCCTCAGTTGCACGGCCTAGAACATGGGTCTTCCGTGAGAGGCACCATGGACCGTCTTTCTCCTCTGTGTTTTCTTGAGCAAGTAGCGAGAAAGTGAAGCCTGATGTTGTGAGGGGCGAGTCTGCCGGGTCGTCTGCACCCGGAGGAACTGAGTGGGCCGCTTTGAGTGGGGACGTGGAGCCGAGGCTCTTGGGCGTTCTGTTCCCTTGCCTTTCCGATGACTGACCAGGGGGCCGCTTCTTATTTGAAACCCAGAAGCCTTGAGATTGTTTACATGATAAAACTGACAGGTTTTTGAGGTTGGTCTGTGAAAGGTCTGAAACTGGTGGGAGAAATCGACGCGGAGTTGTGTGTGCAGGGGTCAGCGGGATGTTGAACTCTCCCCCCCCCCCCGTTGGGACTGCACTTTGTTCCGTAGCGACAGGACCTCAGGCCCGTTGTATAAGCTCTGTGCGCCTCCATGGGGTGTTGCAGGGACTGAGTGACAGGTTATATGTCACATGCTGGAATGTGGGCAAGAGAGCATTCGGCTGGAGCAGAGAGCCCAGGCGGCTCAGGGCTCAGGCAGGTGAGTGCATGACTGAGTCCGCGGTACAGGGGTGGGATCTGCACCCCCCGATTTTTTTAACTCCTTCTCTGTAGGCGTTCAGGCGAGGGGGCTTCCCAGGCAGGGTCCTCGAAGCTACCCACTGGTACTGGGAATTATAGCAAGAGGCACTCTCTCAGATTCTCAAAAACAAGAAATCAAACCTAAACTAACTTTCACTTGAATTACGTATTTGATATCCCAGGAATTCCATGACATTACATTTTATTTACTCTTATTTCAAACATAATTTAAATGCCAAATGATGTATTTTATTTTTATGCCCCTAGGAGATACTTTTGTCAACAAATCAACAAATTATAAAAAGCTCTTTGTCACGTTATATATTCAGTTTTTTCCCTGAGAAATGAAACCCTCTAAGTATGTCTTTGGGCCCAGACTGGGTCTTTGGATATTTGGACAATGGCTGCCTGGTTCCTGAGAAATCTTATGAATCTTTTCTCTACTGAGGAGAACACTGACTTCTTTTTTCCTTCCTTCTCTTCCTTTGCTATCCATTTATCCTATCATCTATCCATCCATCCATCCATCTATCCATCTGTCCAAACATCTATCTGTCCATCTGTCTATCCGTCTGTCCACCCATCCATCTTCTATCCATCTGTCCATCCATTCATTGTGTTCGGAAAGCACCTTGGCAATACATTCAAGATTAGTAAAAGTATGTATACATTTCTGCTCATTCCAGGGAATTTTTTATAAGTAAATAATCTAAAAATTGAAAATATCTGAAGCTAGGGAAGTAATTAAATACAAATAGGTGACATATGTAGCCATGAACAGTTATGAACACAATAGTAATATGGAGATATGTATGATGTTACCTTAAACAAACACAGAAGAATACAATATTATACTTCAATTAGCAACTGTCAGCATCATCTCTGTGTATTGAGAAGGCCAGGAAGTGCTCACTGCACTGTGCAAAAAGCTCTTCTGGTTGGGTGGGGAAAACTTTGCATATTATTTTTCATGGTAATGATTTCCATAATTGCTGTTTCAAGGCCCCTTATTCAATGATTTTAATCAGATTTTTAAGAATTCAGCATTACGTTCCAAAGAGATTAGACTTCCTCCCGCAATGAATATGGAGGAGCCACAAACAGGTCTGCAAGTGCTTGGAAGGGCAAACACGTGCACACAAAAAGCATCCTGTTGCTCTGCTTCTGTCAGGTTTTCTTACTTTTTATGTCTTCGCTTGTTTAATTACTAATCTACTTGTTTTAATTACTTATTTAAATTGCTAAATTAACATTTAAATAAAAAGTCTTCTTGTTTCTTTAATTTATGCTCCCCTTTGATTTTATATAATCACTAGACTGTAGAATTTGAATTTTTATCTGTCTCTAAAAATTAATGAATTCTGACTCCTCACAGAGAGGGACGTAATTACAAGTATTACTAGACCCATTCCAGAATCAAGAGGAATTATGGGTTCCTGGTGCTGCGGAGGAACTCCAGAATTTGTCGGAGATCAGAACTGGAGACGACTTTTTTTTTTTTTTCCTTTTTTCCTTCATCCAGTAGGCTTGACTTTCACAAGTATTAGTTTTCACTTCATTCTGTTTCATTTAATTTCCATCAAGGTCTTCATGTGCCTGTGGTCTCATGTTTGGAGGAGGAAGAAGCCCACCTGCCTGAGCTGTTCCTGTCCGTCCTCCGTAGAGCCCTGGGTGCGAGCTCAGGACGCAGGGCTCCCGCAGGTGGGCTCCCGCAGGTGGGAGGGAGCCCCGGCCCCTGGCTAGTGGACCCACCCCCCACTTCACCTGCTCTTATCCTCCTGCTCTGGGGGACACACGCCCCCAGCAGACCAGCGGCTGGACCGGAGCAGGCTTGCATGGCCAGCAGGCACTGCCAAGCCGAGGCTGGCTGCACTGAGCACCTAAGTACAAAGCAGGAAGGGGAAGTGGCCTTGTTTTTGTGTGTAGTTGAGAAGGCAAAAACGGACGCCCCGAAAGCCCACTGAATGTTTTGTGTGACTCACAGAGTGGTTTCTGCAAACTGGAAATCCAGGTCTCTGGCTTCTCTTGAAAAATAACAGTATCTGGCCACAGCGGGCTTCCTGTTCTCGCAGACAGCAGATGTTGGCTGGGGGAGTGGGGTAGCAGCTGCCCATCCCGCACGGGGGCCACACTCACTGACTTCTAGCCAGACTGGCCTCTGAGTTGCAAATCCCCTGCGTCCAGGAACAAAGGGATGGCATCCAGAGTCACTGTCTTTTGCAAGAACGTTGCCAAAAGCTGGGGTTCACACTCTGTCTATTCTGTACTTTTTCTGTGTCTGCAGGGTTCTGTCTGCCCTGTCCTTCTGCATCGTCTTTTCTTTTTCCCCTTGTGTCTCAGATG